CAGTGTCCAACCTTATTCTTAGCCTTTTGCATTCTCTAATCCTTGCTAAGAATGCACTAAGAATGGTATCAGGAGCAACCGTGATCAATGTGGAAGAAAGAAAACATTATGTGCAGGGCAAACCTGAACAACTCTTCCTGTCTGATTTTTCTATCAGATATCACCAGAGGGTTGTGCTGCTCTTCAGAGGGACCTCGACAGTCTTGAGAAGGGGGTAAACTAGAACCTCATGGAATTCAACAGCAGGAAATACAAAGTGTACCTCTTGGGGAAAGAAGCATGATGCCATGCACCAGTTCAAGCTGGGAGCTGGCCAGCTGGGAAGCAGCTTCAGAAAAGACCCTGGGGGTCCTGGTGATGGATGTGCCTTCATGGCAAAGAAGATCAACAGCATCCTGGGTACCATTAGGCAGAGCATTGCTAGTGGACTGGGAGAGGTGATTCTTCTGCTTTGTTCAGCCCTGGTGAGACATCCGGAGTGCCGTGTCCAGCTCTGCGCTACCCAGCTTAAAAGAGACATACTGGAATGAGTCCAGTAAAGGGCAACAAAGTTATTTAAGGAATTGAAACATCTGACCTATAAGGAGTGGCTGAGAGAGCTGGACTAGGCAGTCTGGAGAAGAGAAGGTTCAGGGGCATCTTATCACTGTGTGATAAGGTAACTTATCACTTATTACCTGCTAGGAGAAGTAAAGAAGACATATCCAGGCTCCTCTATGTTGTGCATAGTGACAGGACACAAGGCAGCAGGCAGTAACCAAAACACAGGAAAATCCATTTAAATATAAGAAAACACTTTTCCTCTGAGGCTACTGAACTCTGAAAGAGATTTTCTGAGAGGCTATGGAGTCTGCATTCTTTGAGGCACTCAAAACCCAACTGGACATGGTCCTGGGCAACCTGCTGTTGCTGATCCTGCTTTGAATTATGGGAGCTGGACTAGATGATCTCCAGAGGCACCTTCCAACCTCAACTATTATGTAATTTTGTGAAGCATATGTAAGTGTTACATTTGTTTGGTGGGCTAAAGGCATCAGTTTTCTTGAAGATTTTCAAACTCTTTATTTTTGGGAATGACGTGAGGAATATGACCCCAAACTGGGAAAATGGGGGCAAGGGACATACCTATTAGACAACCTCAAAATACCAGCACTTGGAAGCTGGCATACACAGACTGAACTTTTGATAGCTAGGTTGTATAAGAAGATGAACGGGGTTAAGCTGAGGCAGGGGAAGTTTAGGCTTGACATCAGGAGGAAGTTCTTCACAGAGAGAGTGGTTGCACACTGGAACAGGCTCCCCAGGGAAGTGGTCACTGCACCGAGCCTGTCTGAATTTAAGAAGAGATTGGACTGTGCACTTAGTCACATGGTTTGAACTTTTGGGTAGACCTGTGCGGTGTCAAGAGTTGGACTTGATGATCCTTAAGGGTCCCTTCCAACTCAGGATATTCTATGATTCTATGATTCTATGAAAGGGGTAGGGGAGCATATTGATGTAGATCACAGCACTGCACAAGGAAAATAAAGGAATTTGAACTGAACTGTGGAGTTTTTTGCTCATCTTGGCTTAAGTTTATTACACCACAAGGACACTTGAAGGAAACAGAGGTCATTACACTGTCATTTAACAGAGGCTTGTTTGACTTTCCTTTCACTTTTTTACTTCAGCAAATGTACAGTTACTTGTGGTTCAAGCCTAGCTCTAGCAGGGCTTCATTAAAGCCCTTTCTGTGTTACTGTGTCTCCCCATCCCCATGTGCAGAAAGGGAAATCCTCCCTGACAGAGACACTCAAAGACTAAGAGAAGGAGATGCCACTGCAAAAGAGCTTGCTTTGAGAAAGATCCTCAGGGACAAAAGCAATGGGACATATTGCAGAGCATTCCCACCAGCGTCCTGACCCTGTCAGCAACTTCACTGCAAAAGAGACAAACAGACGGGATTTTAACTCTTGACCATGTAAAGACATTCAGATTCAAAATGCAAGTATGCATATTCTTGATAGTCCTTCAGAGCTTCTGGGAGGCACTGGACAAAACCGCATGTAGGAGTAAGCATTAAGACCACAACACAGATCCATCTGAGTGGCAAGGATGAAACATAAAGGATTGCCTTCAGACACATTTTGACTGGCAGTCTGTAATGTTTTGTTAGCCAAGACAGTTACACAGAAGCACAAGGTCTGTTCTTGTTTCCTTGCATTTCCCTTAGCAGTAGTTATGCTACAGCTAATCAGGCTGTAGATCAGTGCCAGGATTTACCCTGAAGTTGCAAAGGTAGCTAAAAACAGGTATTGAAAAGCCTGGATGACCCTGTTCAGGCAGAGTGGTAGCTGACCGCTGCTGTTAAACAAACATGCATACTCATATACACAAACCACAAAAGGGTGCTCAAGGAAAACCAGCAAATGCTTCATGATCAAAGCAAACTAGAGAAGGTAAAAGTGGTAATTGTAGACTAGGGATTTTGGAAGCATATACTACTGTGGTAATATATCTATGTTATATTTCACAAAACTTTGTTTAGACTTTAGAAGGAGCCAAGAACCACAAAGAAGCAGCAGTCTTTATGATGCCAGAGGTCCAACATCCCCACCAACCAACAGTAAGGGGTTTACCTAGCAGAAGATCAGTAGGACAAGAAGCATTCCTTCCCTGTTTCAGTCACCTCTCAACAAGACGTTTCCTGCTATTTGCCCCTTCACACTCCTTGCTCCTGTCAAGTTGTAACATCATCCATCTTCTGCAGAACCACTTTTCCCTCACTGAAATTCTGGCAGACAGTTTAACTTAGAGCTGTTGCACTGACTTAAAGAAGACTACCAGGTTTTACAGGGGTAAGTATCTTATCCTGCATATAAAATTTCTGGTTCAGTATTGGGAATAAACAGAATCCTTCCAGGAGAGGTTCTCCATTAGGATCAACTTCAGTTTAAATCTTTTTATTGAAGCAGCATTACTTCAGATCATCCATGCAGTGCCTCTGCAATGGCATCCTAAGTTGTGAACTTGAAAATAAAATTCATTTCTAATTTAAAACAGTCTTCCATTTTCTGGAGGTTCAAAGGAAGTTAGTTCAGAATTGGGCATCATCAGCTTCACTAGTATCCATTTTAAAATGAGTGTCTACCATTCATCCCCAAATCAACTTTTCACAGCTTTATTTGGGTACGCCCTCCACATATGAAAGCAATGAAATTTTACTGAAAAACATGTTCTTAAGCTAACAGCAGAGAGACAGAGCTTGTCAGCAGTTCGAGGAGAAGGCAATGGCATGCAGGAAAAGAGCCAGACCAGAGACACAAAGCATGGTACCAAATCCACCTTTTGCAACTATGGCAAATGTCCTTTTTATCACAGTACACCATTCCTTAGTGAAGGGCAATACCCTCCACTGAGCTGTCTCTGTCACAGAGAAAACGTGCAGAATTGTATCTCCAGTCAGCCATCCCTGTCAATGTAGCCTCAAGCTGTTTTAAAAATACAACTGCCCCCCCTTCTGGCCAACAAGGACTCCCGAAAGTGTTTTGCAAGACATTTCAGGCTAATTTTCAAATGTAATTTAGTCTATAGAAGTTAATTAGGCTTGTTTTAGGATATAAACTTTCAGCCAAAGCTCAAAACTTCCAGTAAGTTTCAGAATATTTTTACATTTATTTAGAAAGAAAAAGGGAAAAAAAAAAGATTTTTCTTTGCTCAATGAAATGCTAAATTCTGGGCTAAATATGTTTATTCATCAATTACTTGAGGTAACGGGAACAGCTCTGATGGAACGAAGCAATGGTTATTATTTGATATCTCAGGACCAGGCTTCCTGTGACCTTCCAGACCTTCAGAGCCTGACTTGGTCAGGAGTGGTGCCAGCTCAAGGCACTGAAAATCACTGACAGTGACATCCATGCAGTGCTGTGCCATCACAGGGGAATGCTGTTGGACTCAGACTGTGCACAGTTGCCTTAGGTAGCCAGTCCCCATTTAGGTGGTCAGTTCACAGATAATGGTGAGGTATGACACCACGCATCAACTTAAGGCTTGGAAGGAAGACTAGTTAATGGAGGGAAATTTTTGAAATATAAACATTCTAATGATGACTGCTTTTTAAGTGACTTAGAAATAAATCTCACAAACCATACAAACACCCATTTATGTGCCATCCAGATAACAGCATTCAGTGTGAGGACCCGGTGCGGGAAGCTATGAATGAGGAGTAACACACCACTGCTGTGCAAGCCCAGTCTTTCCATTCAGGGAGAGCATTCTTTAGGAATTCTTTAGGGACAGATTCTTTAGGAAAGCAAACTATGCCTTTCCTCCTCTCTATCTTGTCAAGGGAAATTTTATTTCAGCATATTTCCTATTTACTTTTCCAGATGCTGAGATACTGAATAGGAATGTATAAAGGCTATTTTCTAATTACTTCAAAGTGACGCAGTAATAGACAGGATAGAAAACTCCTCCATGAGCACTTTCCCAGTTTAGTGAAGCCTCATGAAAATTCAAAGCAGAAATGTAAACCTAAACAACACTGAAAGACACCATTTACATGTTACATATTTCATACCAGGTTGTTTTTGTTTTTGTTTTTTTTTGTTTTTGTTTTTTTTGTTTTTTTGTTTTTTTTGTTTTTTTAAGGGAATACTAGCTAACAAGAGAAGTATCACTCATTTGGGAAAAAAAAAATCAAAAATCATAACATAATTCTGTACTACAAAGTTTGATACTGGTGGACAAAGTATTGACAGACTCTGTCCTCACAGTCAACACATTGCTAAGTAGTTGCACTGAATTGCTTAAAAATGGGGAATCTGAGGTTTAAACCAAAAGGATGGGTATTCATGTCAATTAGACATATCTGCAGTGCTATGAAATTGTCTGATCTGTTGTCCTTCATACCAGTATAGTTAATATTAGCCTGTCCTGTGAATTTCTCCTCTCTTTGTAATTTCTACAGTTCCTCTACATGAAAAATTAAGTTACAAAAAATTGAAGTGTCAAAATACCTGATTAGTTATCTGTTGTTGCAATTTTTCTCCAGATGCTGAAAGAGAAAGAAAATAATTAGTTTGCACATATTTTAATGAATATGATAATGTACACACATAACAAACACTGTAAAGTCAAGAACAAAAAAAAAAATCAAACATTGTAATTAAGAAGTAGTGTTTAACACGAACAAATGATTTTAAACTTATAAACGGAAGTCTAAAGTTAAAGAAAAAAACAACAAGCTCCTCTTAAGGAAACTGCCATAAAAGTAAGATTGAGATAGATATCCAATCTTGTTAATCTGGTACCCCACAAGGAATTGCAACATACAAAACGAAGGCGACAAATTTCAAATACATTCTATGAAGCTCTTAATTAATGTTTTGAGATGTACTACTGCACGTATATGTGCCTGGAAGACTGGTAGCATCCAGCTCAGGATTTGAGCATCAGAGAAGAAAAGCAGCTTCTGCTGTTAACCTGAGATAAAATTACGTGCCTGTGTCATGACTGAGGTTAGGCGCCAGCTGGCTCAAGGGAGAAATTCTATCCTGATAATATCCCCAAAGTGGTGAGTTGAGTTACGGTCTCGCTCCCTCATCCTGGCCTTCTTCTGCAGCGTCCTTCAGCGTACTCCTGAAGACATGATCAAAGCCTAGAAAGAACATTGCTTTCCTAGAGCCATCTGGGACGCTAGTAGTAATGACATCTCAAACCTGCTCTTTCCTTTTAGATCAAACAGGACAGTAATTTTGCCTCATTTACCATTCCCATGCACTATCTGTCAAAAGGGCAGCTGGTATCAATTACCCTCCCTTTGCTACTGGAAACTATCCACACGTATCTGGGAAAATCAGGAATTTCGCACTGACCTATCCAGCTAGGCTACATGTACCCACAGTGTTTTTTAAGTAATAATGATAGGACACTGTTTATAACCTGTCAGTATCACTATTAACTGTCAGGGGAGCCTGTTTCTGCTTAGCACGGATGGTTGCCTCTTTCAGCACTGGAAATGATACTCCATTTCAATGGAGTTTCTTTGCATTGATGTGTGTGGCACAAGATAGAAGTTTTAAAAGGAAAAGAAAATATTTTAAATGTTAGAACACACTAATAATTAAAGGAAAATGTTCTTCCCTACTGGTTGCTGAGAATTCTTCAATTTTCAAGGAAAGCATTATAGACAATTTAGATAAAGAAAATTACTTCAGGCTATATTATAAGATTGTCTCTTATGATAATTATTTCCTGCCTGCTTCTGTTGTGTTTTTGTTTGCTAATAAATAAATAAATAAAAACTTTTTTTTTTTTCTCAAAAAGAAAAAAAAAAGATCACAAAAAGCCCACATAATTTATAATTTAGGGGAGAATTTCCAAAATGTATTCCCTTGTACACTGAGATCATCTTTGGAATTAATGGAATTTTATCATGTAACTAATTTTTAACCAAATAGATTGTTGGTAATAGAAGATTAAAGGAATTTGTGTTTTTAGCATTCTGTAATGATATACAAGTTGCTAGGAAAGCACAGCATTTGAAATCTCTGGTTAGATCAACACTATTTTGCTCAAAGGTTTGTGGACTTTGAATACTGATGCTTTCCTGTTTCCCAGTACATTTGTTTTTAGGCTATTTTGATTCACTTTAAAGGAATTTTAATAACTTTCTGTTGACAGCATGGACAGCTGGTCTTGAGAATTAGTGAAAATTCACTTGCTGACTGAGGAAGGAAGTGACATCAATGAGTTTCTAAAGTCAGCCCAGAGGGAAAAGTGCACTCCGTGAGAGTAGCCTTTCATGCCATTGTATTGCCAGTGATGCCTCAAGATGCAAATTGCATTATCAATCAAACTTGTGGTTTCTACCTCAAGCAAATATAAAAATGGACACAAAGACTGGGAAAGACCTGCCTGGCCACTTTTGACATAGCTAAGGAAAAAGTGAAGATGAATTTGTGTATTTTTTTTTCCCCAATTTAAATATGACAGTATCAAGGAGAAGGCAGTTGCTTAAGTGTCTGCACGATATACCAGCAATGATGACATGGGTTAAATAGGACAGAGATTGACTAGGCTGTTAAGGACAGGAGGGAGATCAAATTCAAGGTCAACAGCAAATTGAATACTGTGTTCTCCATTTATTCACTAGATGATCCTTGTCCTCATCATGAAACAACTACATGAATTTGGCATAGTCAGCAGTTACGCTCAGAAGAGGCCAAGATCCATAGTAACAGAGATGCTGCAAATTAGGGTGGAAATACATTGGCACCATTATTTCAGGAAGTCTGCAAAGTCCTGATGTGTCCTGTACTTTTGTTTTAAGGTGAAGAGCTACAAAAAAAGTGGAAAAAAACATGAACACATGAAACAACGCCTTCATTTTCCTTAGCATGAATAGTCTTTTATTTCCCCCTTCCTCACTGTAATAGATCATCATTAAGTTTAAAATGGACATTCTTTCAAAAACAGCAACTACTAAATAAAAATATTCCTCCAGAATTCAGCTTAAAAATATTTTTACATATGTATTTATTTTTATTTTATTTTATTTTTTTTAGAGGCACAACCTAGTAACACCTACAACACTGAAAGGTGTTCAGGCTTTCAGCTGTCAAAGTAGGGCAGTAGAAGGTGTTGTCATTGAAATAACCAACATTTTGTCTGTCCTGCTTTTTATTTTGTTTTTATTTTAAAATGACTTTTAGAATGACTAGTCACTAATCTGTGTTTTACCTAACTTACCCTTAACTTTGAGAGGGATGTTTCTGTTTAGGTGCTTTGTTATCACTCTGGCTCCGTTAGAGAGAAAGGTCCAAATCCAAAGGACACAAGGCAATGGGACACCAATTAAACCAGAACTGGCAGAACAGGCCAGGCAGTCCCAGAGGTAACACCTGCATTAGGCTCATGACATTCATATAATTCTTGAGATCTGCCAGATGTTTCATTACCCATAGACCTTCAACACTAAATTCAAAATTTACAACAGCTTTTCCTGAGCCACTGCAGTGAGACAGCAGCTCGTACAAGATGAATGGATGCATGAACATCAAACTAATTGGGGAATTTACTGCCATCTGGAAATTTATAAGGAAGTTGCTCAGCTGGTAGTCAGTGTAGTCCAAGAGACATGTCTTCTGCAATGTGAATGGGTTGTTCTTAGCCTGTGCTTCTCCTGAAACTTTTTTTTTTCTTCCTACATGTCATCAGACAAACTGTTTCTAACTCAGCTCAGGAGTGCTATTTGACCAGCTATCTTGACAACGCAAGCATATCAAACAGTCTCCATCATAGACAACTACACTCCACTGATGTTTTGAGTCAGAAGACATGTATTTACCAGCACAAACTGGAATTCTGAGGACTTGCTGAGGCTCTGCTCTCCTGCCCCTCTAACTGAAGCTAAACTGGTACAACTGAGACAAAACATTTGTTGAAACCCAAAACTGGAGAAATAAACCTCTCCAAAATAATTTTTAGTGATACTTTTTTTTTTTTTTGGTCTCTCCAATCACAAAAAGTGTGAAGCACTACCCTTATGTGGTTTTAGACTATTTACATAAATGGCTTTCTTGTGTTGTCCTCAAGCTGTATCATTTTAGAAAAAAAAAAACTTACAGCAAACATTCTTTAAAAGATTTATCTGTATTTCCATCTACTAATTAGTACACTGATTCCTGCTTCCAGAGCAAGGTGGATTTTTCAATGTTTTGCTTACTTGTTCTTGCAATATGGAAGATTACCTTACTGAAAGGAACAGAGTACATTTTCCAATGTAACTGACCACTGTAAGACACAAGAGCATGTCATAATTGATGCTGTCACAAGGAACTGCAACACCAACTCCTCAGCCTTACGCTCCCAACCTACTCAGAGAACAGTGCGTAATTATGCACACTGTGCCCTGCTTACCTCCATACAAAGGAATGTGATATTTGTGCAGGTTTACAGATTAATCTGCTGTAATTCCTTTTAATGTTAAACTACTTCCAGCTCAAATATAATTAACATCACCAGGTACAAAAGATTGATTAGAAATATGAGCACACTCCAACAGAACAAATAACAGCTTGATGCTGTTTCTTATGTTCAAATAGTTGGATACATGAGGAATTATGACAGCATGTTTGTTCCCTAAGTATATAGCAAAAGAAAGAAAAGTTTCATTTCAAAAGGCAAACGACTACTACTGCATTTAATTAGAGTGTAAAATTCCTTAAATACACAGATCTGACAATTTATGTGACGTGACTGCTACAAGTCCTAGCAACAAAGGATTTCTTTTTTTTTTCTTCCCCAAAATCAAATCCTAATTTATTCTTTAAACAAGAGGGGGACCCTCAGCCTTGCCTTGAAACAATCATATTCATAATCTGAAACAGCCATATTCACATAGCTATGTGGGGAACAGCACTACAAGGAAATCAGTTTTGAGGAGAGAATTTGATATTCTAATATCAATTTAATTTTGTTTTTCCAGTTCGTGACAGAAACACTAACAGCTTTGGATTTTACTTTATTTTTATAGACCTAAATAAACACATATGCAACCTATTTTGTTATGATCCATGCCCCTTTCATTACTGGTTTCCTATCCTACTGGAGCAGTGAAAGGAAACCAAACCACTTATTTCTGACAAACTTTTGCAGCAATTTCTAATGGCGCCAGAGCCTGAAGAAGAAACACTCAGATTTAGTTTTCTGACTTTTAACTGAGGAGGTGTGGCACTAACAGATTATCTTCTGACAGAGCCTGCAATTTGGCATACAAAGATTTAAATATTTAGGACAAAATCATACATTTCCTATAAATTAGCTGCAGAATCTCCAGGACTTGTAAGCCACACAGCTCCTTCAGATACACATAATATTTTCCTCCTAATATGGAATTTGGAAAACTAAAACTTACAGCATTGCCTTCAAAACCTAGTTTTGATTATTTTTGCGCCTCTGTGATAATTATGCAACTGAATATGATTACAGTGGCCTAAAATGTATTAATCACATCTTCATGGTATTGCATAATCCTCAGCTGTCACAATGCCAACTCATAAGTTGCCCTGGCAGTAGGAAACATAAAAAGAAACTCAAGTTGATACTGATTGAAGAAAATGAAGGAAAGTTGGCCATCTCAAAACACTGAAATTCTCACAGCATTCCAAGGTCTCCCCAGTTAATTTTTCATGATTACTTTTGATACGAAAACAGACCTTTAATTGTCAGTCTCTAATAAGGATGCAGAACTGTTCTCTTGGAGGTTCAAATGACCCTGGGAAACTAAACATTTACGCAAGTTCCAGTAGTCAAAAGTCTTGTGTTGATTAAAATACACTGTTCAGTTTCCACCTAAAAAATTCAAAACAAAGAGAAACCCCAAATGAAAAAAAAAAAAGTTCCTGGTCTGATAAAGAAACATTAATTTTAATAGGATTGAGGACCTTCATTCATTAATTCTGTGCATAAGAAAAGATGGAAGGGTGCAATATAAATATATTCTTGAGCCTGATTCTGCATTGGCAAACACTGTATATCTGTACTTATGGCAAGGAAACATGAGAAAATAAGTTAAAAATCTGGCGTTTTACCTCATCAGCACTGACAAATATTTTCAAATGATACCGATTTGCCAGTACGTCCACTAAAATAATTAGTAGGCAGGCCTGTCTAGCAGTTTTCTCCTAATTTGTTGCTTTGTATTTCTGGCAAAATGGAAAGTAAAGGTTTGTCACCTTGTTCCTTTAAGGATGGAAGATTTGAGATAATGGAAACATGCCAGACGATGTATTTGGTTTTAAGATCAACATGATATTGATATCATGCTTTGGACGGTTTCCAGCTCAATGTAGTATATTTATTTTGAATGCCTATTTGGCATTCATCCTGTATCCAGCAACAAGAATAGTTTGTTTCAATTTTGTTTTACAGCTCATTATGCAACTGCTTTGAAATGCTTTCTTTTTTATCTAACTACTTCACAAGGTTTTCCGATTCCTGCTCTCCTAAGGAACCAAATGGAGCAAACTATGGAATCTTACTCATCTGCAATTAGGCAGACAAAATCAGTTACTTATGGCTTAGCAGATGCATTTCCTCAAACTCCATCACAGAGTGTTCCAAATGACAGGTAGAAACTGCCTCAGTTCTCACACTGCATGGGCCATCGCTTTTTCATTTTCATTGCTTTTTCAATCAGATGGACCAC